CCCCTCCCCTCCCTCCTCTCCTCTTTCCCGCTAAACACACACATACACACACACACACACTGACACGTACGTTACGAGTAAGTGATGAGCACGCACCACCCTCATCATCACTAGTTACTTTCACTGACCGACGCCTCTCTTTCTCTCTCCCTCTCTCTCTCTCCTTCTCTTTCTCTCTCAAGACGACGCCGTGGTCCGTCGCCGAGCCGGTCGGCCCGCCTCTCCTCTGTGTTAGGCGAGGCCCCCCCAGGTGGGAGGAGCTGGTGGAGGAGGCCCTCTCTTGTCTGTCGTCGCGTCGACAACGACGACGACTGGTCACTTAATTACGGTGCCGTACCCTCTCCTACCCGTGGATGTGGACCTGCGCACTACAAAACGCCCGTCCGCCGTTACTAAAGTCTAAATGAACCACGATGACCGGACTGGCGGGGCGATCCTTTTGGATCTGCCTGGCGAAAGTGCGGCGGCAGCGGCGGCGGCGGTTTGGTCCTGGTTGGCACACGGTAAAGCGGAGTAGCTTGGGTGATCGTGGAGTGTTTTGGGATAGGCTGGCTTTGCTGCTGGCCGCGCCTCGCGCAAGCCAGATCGGGTATTGAGGAGATGATTATGATGGGGTCGGGAAGAAAGGATTCGTTTTCTTTTTTATGGCCCTTGAATCCAGTAAATGTTTAAAAAGTAATAAAGGTCGTATAAGTGTGTGCGACACAGAAAGTGCAAACTTGCTTTTCCTAATTTTGAGCGTGTTTCACGGCGCGGGGTGTAATGGTGGGCAAGAGATTTATCACTTTTTTTAAGCAGCAGCAGCAGCACATGTTAAAAGTAACCCTTGCGCTTGCGTTGTTGGTGACATCCTGCCTCCAGTGCCAAGGGCAAGAGCGTAAAGGGAAAGGGGAGAGGGGGAAGGGCGGCGAATGGCCACGAGTGCAGTGCCCCACGCCGGGCCGTGATGGTAGTCTTGCGTGTGGTATGGGCTTCGCCGCCGAGCTCTCCGCCAAACCGAGCTCAGCTAAAAGGCCCCTCGCTGCGCTTTCGGACCTTGTACGTCGCCCTGAGAAATGCTTCGAGGTTGTCTCACACGACGCTGCCCCCCCCCCCTCTCTACCCTTTCTCCTTTGCCTTTTGCCTGTATGGCGTTATTTACCCCCCGATAAGGAATAACGCACCTCCGCACCGGAAATGAGTCGGACGGTCGCGGCGTTGTTTACTATGCCATTACCCTCGTCATAACTGTGTGTGGAGCGCAGTGTAACACACTTGGGAGTGTTACGCACCTAACACCAGAAAGAAAGACAAACATAACTTTTTTCCACCCACGTATACCCACGTGTCGGAGCTGTGAGACATTTTAGACACCTAAAGACTGTGTACACCAGACGGAAAAGTCCCCC